TCTTTCTTTCTTTCTTTCTTTCTTTCACTTGTGTTTAATCTTCCGGAGGTCTCGACTAGCATCTAAGCCATTTTCCACTTGTCAGTCTCTGTAGTCGTCATCATTCCTCTGTTTGGTCCTCAAGCAGGGGCCCAAATGCCCCGCTGAGGGGCCCGAAATGCCCGAGCGAACAAGTCACGTTGTTCCAAATTGTTCAGCACAAGCTCAAGTGCTTTAGTAGAAATCTGTGATGTGTGTCGAATGTCTTTTTGTAAAAAGTGGCGGATTTTTGTCTTTTCCCTAGTCTAAAGAAGTGAACGCATTTCTCTCGTTTTTTTGGAAGAAATATATTTTTTAACAATTGAATAAAAACACGAAATGACATGGTAAAGAACTGCGCTCTTTTATAAAACTATCATCGCCTATGCTATGCTTTGTGAACTTTAGATGTTTCAAACGAATTGGAATGTAAAAGTATTTTGAATGTATAAAAATAAATTAAATATTGAAATATTATTCAAACAATGAAATTGTTTTTTTTAAACAGTTAATTGTTTAGTCAGGACTGCACTTAAATGGCTTTATTTTCGCTTTTTTCCCTATTAGAAAATAGTTTATTTATTGCATGTGTACTATCAATTAAATACAAATACAATCATGTTTATAAAATTCGTACTTTATTGTTCAAAATAGTGGCAGCTAACAGTATTGTTTAAGCGAATTTTCACTTAAGGTTTTTGTCAATTCACCAGACTTGTTTTCATCTTGCTCTGAAACGATCTTGTTGGGTATTCAGTGCCGCCCAAAAAGTTTCGTAAACCTGTAAATTCACCGAAATCGCAGGGAACTATTATGCTAACATAACTACGCGCTGTTAAAAACGTGTTCAGATGGGAAATAATGCGTGCAACACGTTCAAAAATTACAATTAAGGACAAATAATGTTTATAAAAGAATCAAACGAGCAGTAAACCAGCAACAACAACAAGTTGAGCGATGGTCTCACCTGCATTATAAGCCGCCAAGTCCGCTCCGGGCCCAGGGTTCTTCCTCTTTCGGGGCCGGCCCTTCTGCACCGTGTTCACGCCGTTATAATAAGCCAGTCCTAGAGGGCCCGTGCTGCCCAGTCCTTTATTAGGCGCTACATCCGTGTGATTGAAAAGCGTGGGGAAGTCTCCCTGGATGAGCGTTTCAAAGTGTAGCCTGCAGTACACCAGACTGTCTTTCATGCCGAAGTGGTCCCCAGTCGTCAGCATTTTGTTGCAAGTCGTGCAGGTGAAACAGTTCAAGTGGTACACCAAATCCCTGGCCCTCATGACCATTTCCGAGGCCGAGATCCCGAGGTGGCACCGGGCACATCTCTGCACCGAAAACCTTCTGCGGGACAATAGAGCAGCTGTGACCTTTCAGCACACTTCAACCAGAAGGTGGGCCCCCCACTCATGAGCCTGACATTAAATGGGCTGCTTCTCATAATAACCGTTGGATAAATTATAATTTGCAATTCTACATTCTAGCTACATTTTTTTATCTGGCCCTATGTGGACATGCTGAAGTAAAATAATGCATTAAACAGCAGGATGCGTGAATAAATGGTTAGCTCGTGCAGTGGAATCTAGTCTCGCCAATAATTACGTCTCGAATA